AAAAAAAAATCCGAATAAAAAAAGAAAAAAGATGAATAATTTATTGGTGATAGAGAGATATCACATCACTTTGTCTATACCAAACTTTGATAGTGTATAGATTGAGAGAGGGAGAGAGAGAGATGGGTATACATCTATATTAACAACTTCAAAAATATACTTAAATCACAAAAATTATGATATAGTCTTGCAAAAACTTAAATAACAATGACACTGATTAAAAAAAAGATCTGACTTGCCTCTTCACATAAAAAAAACTCCATATTTGATTAGCCTGTTATAAGATGATGATAATATATATATAGATTAAAAATTAAGGATTATGAATCATGAATAAAAAAAATAAAAGAAAAGAGAAAAATACTTACCTTAGACCTCAAATGAAAGATATAAGGAGTATATATATGCGAAAATAGAGTATGAATAAGTAAATGAATGCTGCCAATTAATTACTGGTGATTAAAAGCATCAAGAAGTAACCGATGTTGCGTGGGCTAAAGCAATAAATAATTTCCTAATTTAATTGCTCATTGCTCATTATGCTAAATGCTAATAATGAGGAAAGGAAGTTACTTTTTTTAAAAAAGATTATTGAATAGAAAATGATGAAAAAAATTCAAAATTATGGGAAAATAGATAAATAGCAATACTGATCAATAAGGCATGCCACATCAGCTTTGCCTATTTCCAGCTTTATATATATATATAGATTTTTTAATTCTTATATTTTCTTACTACGTACATGTATTTTAGAAATGAAAGTATATATATTCCATCATATATAAAAGTACTTGTGACATAGGGATCTAGACTAGACACAACATACGAATTTGACAGAATCCACTTGCATCTAGCTCTCAAATGAGGTATATATACGTGTAACAAAAAATAATAACACTTATAATATCAGAAACATAATCGACTGACTCTAAATTTTAGATTCGTCACTCGATAATTCTCCAAATTCTAATTATGAATAGGAGGTTTCTTTCTAGCAGGAGTATAATCTATGTCTATTGCTACTGAATCTTCATACTTTGATTTCTCTTTATTGCTTATAACAATTTGTTGGTTGCCACTCTTTTGAACTAATTCATAATTATCAACTTGCAAATTCCTTGCTGCAAAAATAGAAAATTAAATGAAACCAAATTAGTATAATGAAAAAATATAAATTATATTAAAAAAAAAAAGAAGAGCTAAGTATTTACCTTGACAAGTGATCAAGAAGAAGAAGAAAATGATAGAAATGATTAAGTACCAATGTGTTTTTTGGTTAACAATAGCCATTTTTGATGTTGTTGTAATTTTTTTTTAAATGAAATTTGGAATAGATTTGTGTGTTTTAAACAAATTATATTGCCTTATATTTATAGAGAGACAAGATACATAGATTGGAAAAATTGGGCAATCAATTTTAAAAAAATGTCAAATCATGTTACAAAATTGTTGTACTTGGATAATAACATGAGGGCCCTCAAGGGGGTGACAATAGGACTAAAGGAGTTCATATCAACAGTTTGCATGAGAAATTAATACTAATTTGCATGTAAATGGGATATGTTGTTTCAAATGATTAATGAGGTTAAAACAAGATCTAAAAGACCACCCATATGCTTTGTCTGCTGTTTGTTAGAAATTGAAAACAAAAAGTGGATCACAATTTAAAATGTATTCAAGAATAATTGAACTCTCGTCAAGGAAGGTAGTAAAAATTAAGTACATTCTATTTTTATCACTGGACCAAGAGACTACTTTATTCATATATATTTCTCGTATAATAAATTTTTTCAATATAAGTATACAATCTACGTGAAAACTACATAATTCTCAAAAATCTACTCTAACTAAATTTTCAATATAAGTATAGAATCTTAGTCCATTTTAATAGAAAGGGAAGCGGTAAAGCTATTTTGATTTACATTAAATTTGAATCTAATAAATATATCATGCGACATAGAAAATGTCGTGTTTAATAGATTTCCTTGTAACATATATATATATATGCTAGCTTATCTAAATTCTAAATCAAATATCATATTAATTTCATACATAATTAATAACTTATATACTCCTAAAGTCCTAATCAACTATCAAACATGATATAAGATTATTTGATACCTCTACATATAACTCACATTCAAATCAATTACCGAACGACGCACCAAATAGTTTAAAAATTGGAATTTGGAAACAAAGAAAGAAACAAGAAGCCAGGAGAGATTATAAAGTTAGACGAAAGGGACGCTAGCTCTATTTTTCTTTTAGATAATGCAATGGTGTATAAAGTATTTCATGTGGCAAACAACCAATTGATTTTACTATGAGGGCTTGAAAATCAAAATAGTATGTTCCCTACTAAGATACACATGTATTTCAATATAATTGGGAATTGGGAAAATGGTAAGAAATTTCCTTTCCACAATTATTGATTAAAATTTTATGTATACATATATAGTAGCGGATTCGGGCCACAATAGATACAATATACAATTTTGAGCACCCACAGATCACTACACCAAGCAACTACTAGTTACTTGAGTGCTCACTGTTTAATTTTATACTGTTCATTCAAATTTCGATACGAGATTAATAAGTGCTCGAGCACCTGAAACCTTTCATGTGGGTCCGCCCTTATATATATATATATATATATATATAAGCTAATAATAAACACATGTTACATCTCACCTTTTCCATCAAATGGAGACATATATAGACGAGGGTCGTTTGGTAGAGTGTATTAGATAAAATAATGCATGCATTAGCTATATGTATTAGTAGTTCCTTGTTTGGTGCATTTTTCCATGCTGTGTATTACTAATACCATGGATTTCTAGGTATTTGTAATGCAAATGATTTAATACATGCATTAGCATGGTTAAAAATCCAATTACCCCTCAAAAGCACTTTTACATCTTTTCCACCATAATTGTGAATGATTCTTTTGTAAATAAATATTTTTATACAATGCATACTATTTTTAATACGCCAAACCAAACAATGCATAAGAAATAGTCTATGCGTAACTAATGCAAGTATAAATAATACATGTATTACTAATGCAAGCATTACTAATACACACCCTATTGAGTATTATTTTATACACTCTACCAAACGACAAGTTGATATCAATCAAATCCATGTCAAGGCTACACATCCTAAGGCAACAACTTACTATTAATATGATTTAAGTAATGAATCAAAGTAATAAATATATACTTCATTATTTAACTATAATTTTTAATATTATATACATAATAACGAGTACCACATATTTATTAATTAATACGATATAAATAGCGAATTAATTAATCATTTATATATATAAAATTTAAGATTAATTTTCTTAATGTCTAACAAATCCCTCCATAAAAATTCTCTTTTGGTCATTGAAAGATGTATAATACGAAGATGGTTACATTATATTATTATTATATTATAATAATAATATAACACTCCGAGTGCTTTGGAGAACATAAACAAACTTAACAAAAGTGGAAAAAAGAGTATTAATATATATTCTGTATAATTGAAGTATTGTTTTACATTTTTTCAACGGTTTACGGATACTTTAGTACCTAATCATGTCATAGGTCAATTATATATCACTTCTGTCCTTTAGAATTTGGCACACAATCATATAAATTTCCAAAAAAGACTATTGTGGGACTAAAATTTCAAATTCATAGATTTTAAATTCTATTTTTGTGTAACTGTTGTTATATGTGGACCATGTGGACAAGGTCATTGTCTCATTGTCTGAAGTTTCAAATAGTGATTTTCAAAAAGACTATTCTGTGATTAAAATTCTGAACTTATACGCTTCAAATTCTCATTTCGCGCCTCTGTCGCCGTCCGTGGACCATGTTGGACAAGGTAAAAATATTATATGGGTAACTACCCTTGTGAGTTCACGTGATGAGTACGTAGGATTTAAAGGGGACATGAACATCAACAAACATTTCATTTCAATCATTTTTTAAAATTTAATTAGGACCAACTTGACCTACCACATACTGCTTCCTTTGACCATGATGCAGTGAAATTCATACCATCCTTAGACATTTTGTTATAGGTGGACCATCTTGGACAAGGATTTAATTTGATACAATACGTCAAAATCAATTTTTAGAAGTGATAAATATACATATGAATAAAGAGTGATAAAGTCTTTACTGACATTAATTAATTGTCCGTAAAGCTTGATCTTCAAAGACTTCCAAGTTTCCAAAAATTGGCTTAGACAAAAAAAAATTGTCTTCCACTCACAAAACTTCAAAAAAAAAAGAAAAATAAAATTGAAGTAAATACATGTCCAAACATGACTTTAAATTTCAGAAATCATAAAAACTCAAATTTTCATTTTTCGACTTCGATTATCTTATAAATACATGTCTAACAAACGGTTTATCTTATGTAAGCAATTTATGTGTACAAAAGGGCCTAAGGTCTCCTTGTGTATTAATTCTTGACTTACGATTGCTTTTTAGTACTATTTTTTTTTTTTTTTTTTTTTTTTTTTTTTTTTTTTTTTTTTTTTTTTTTTTTTTTTTTGAAAAATAAAGAATTACAAACAATTATAATTTTACTTCATATCTACTTGTAAATAAAAATCTTATAGACATTGAAAAATTAAGATTAATTAGCCGTCATCTTGAGCCATCTCTTCAAACAAAGTTAAGGCCAAAATCACTTACATATTAATTATTAGTAACAATTATTGATTAAAACAGAGAAATTCAATTATTAGAGTGTATTAACTTTAGAGTGACCAAATGAAAATAATAATAATCTGGTTCTATCATTGTCTTGACATAAAGCATGACACAAGAAATGGAATTTGAGAGAGGCCATGCCCTGTCACGTGCCCAACATCATCCTTGATGTTTTTGGAATCCCAAGATAATCCGGAAACGACACAATCTTTGTCGCAACCTTTTCTGTTCTTCGGGTGAGCACTGAATATACACCACTGTGTAAATAGTCTGCAAACTGTTGTTCATCTTGTATTCCTAAAATACTTAGAACAAAACTTTGAAGAACTTGGTAAGAAACAACAAAGTTTAAAGAGTATTTTCAAAACTAGAAAATTAAAACTAGTAGAGAAAATAGAACCAGAAACAAATTAGAAACAATATAAAAATATTTTTCTCAAAGAAAGAAAATCGAGCCCACTGATTGCATAGTGTCCCCTTAAGGAAATTATTCCCCTCAAGTACCCGAGGTTAATGGAATATATCCTCCCAGGATAGAACAATCTTACTCACCGGTGTATCGGTACCTAAAATCACGGTGTCAGTGAACCACTCAACGGCAGTAAAGTACACTTAGAATACTAGATTTAGTATTAGTAGAAGAAGTCCAGAAAAATTAGTTCTCTTAAAATGAGAGGAAATCTCTCAATTTATAGAAAACAAAGGGTAGTGTGAAAATGTTCTTATTGTGCCTTACCGGAAAGGTCACAAACCTTTGGAAAAGTCGCAGTCTTACGGAAAGGTCACAACCTTTCATAAAAGTCACAATTTTTCATAAAAGTCCCAAGACAAAGAAACGGACAAGTATGTGTACTTTCCAAGCAAGAATTAATTGCATCTGGATAAGTAGGTTTCCCCTTGGGCTTTCCGTAGTAAACATATGTCGGATATACTCGGTCAATCGGTAGATGCGATATCTTTGAACCGTCGAGCTTTGGTGTATACCTAGACAACCATATGTCACACAATTAACCCATTACCGTTTATGATTCTTATGGTTGTGTTCGTTTCAGCCATGAACACCTCATGGTTTCATGAGTGTATAGAGAGATGGGCTTTTGACAATCATCCTCTTTGAAGCGGCTTACACTTCACACTCACATAGGTGATTTCTAAACGTGTTATCGCGTAGTTACACTATTTGGTCAAATCTGCCAAACTTAGCAAATCATTAAAAACTTTAAGCTTTATTAACAAGCCTTAATGTTGTATTCATCATGGGAATGAATTGAGTTGGTTGACAATGCCGAACCGTCAGTCACAACTTTGTTTTTCTCCTTGAATCTAGCTCTTGGGATCTCCATTCTGCTAGATAGAGTTACCGCCATGATGACTTGTCCTAAGCCGTAAATCCATTCCCTTAGATGATCTTTCAACTTTCTCTCTAGTTAGGCCTTTTTTATAAGTGGATCCAACACATTATCCTTCGACTTTACATAGTCAATTGTGATAATTCCACTAGAGAGTAGTTTTCTAACGGTATCATGTGTATGTCTTATATGACAAGACTTTCTGTTATATATCATGCTCCATGCCCTACCTATTGCATCTTGACTATCAAAGTGT